CCTGCCATTGGCAGGGCTGTGCTGCTCCAGCCACATGTGAGCCAGCAGCCCCTGGGCACGGCTGGCAGGGGAACAAATGCTGTCAATGCCATCCCCACGGGCTCCGTGGGCACCCCATGCTGACCCAGACACAAAGCAAATTTTGGGTTTTGTGCCCGGGGAGGCCTGGCAGAGCCGGGGGAGGCTGCGCTGGTAGCAGATGCTGATGCCTCCGGAGCGGAAAGCCTGGTCCCTCCCCTCTCATTCCTTTTTTTTCCCTTTTTTCTGCCTTTTTTTTTTCTTCCCCCCCTCTGGCTGATCTTAAAAAAGCCCAGGCGGTTTGGGCTTGGTGAAACCCAAATGCTTTTTGCAGCATCAAGCCYGGATCCCCATAAGTAATATCCCAGCACTGGAGAGTAAGACAGTATATGAAGTAGACGGGGAGCTATAAAGACACTTTAAAAGGGGCAATAAAAGTTTTGGGTTTCATATCGTCTTACCAAAGAAGAGAATAACAGAGAAGCAGGAAATTTCAGTAGCAGACATGACAAAGGTCACAGCACTCAGACTGCACCTTAGACGAAAACACCTACTCTTATGAAAACAGCCAGAATTTTTGGCAGGGGCTCAAGAGCTCTTACAGGCAAAGCTCTCGGCAGCGCTAAAAGGTTACAAGAGACTGTTTTGTCTACGTTGCTGTGGGTGTTTATAATATTTCCCTGCATTGGTGTTGCAGGGGATATCCTGCCTGGGGTAGTGGGTCCAGCCCTGCACCTTTCTGTGGTGTCGGGGTGCTGGTGCCAGGGCAGGGACCCCGAGGATGTGCCCAGATGTGTTCCAGTGCCAGGGCTGGGTGCTGGTCCTGCTGGGGAGCAAAGGGATGGATGGCTGGCACGGCTGGGGCAGTGCCCTGGGGCATCAGCAGGGAGAGGAGGGGAAAAGCAAACCTTGCCTGGGATTTTGCTGTATATAATACAATTTTGGGTGGGGTTTTTTTTCGCACCTGAATACATGGCAGGTGGAGCAGGAGGTTTTATCTTCTCAGCTGGTCCTCAGGTAAGGTGCTCTCCATGTTTTAATGGGATTTGCCAACCCTTGGCCTTTCCTGCTCAGCCCCAGCCGGGTGCTGTGGTCACCCTGTGCCCTCATCCCAGCGCTGGACCCTCACACAGCTCTCACCATGGGCACACTGCCCCTGTCCCCAAGGCATTTGGGACCAAACAGTCCCAAAATGAGCTGCTGGGATGAAGGAGCCTCTGAGCAGCTGCTGCAGCACACGATGGAGGCTGCTGGCACTGCTGGTCAGGCTTCTGGGGAGGGTCAGCTTTGAGTATTTGCGTTTGGGGTGACAAAGAAGAGCCAGCAGAGCTGTGGGATGCCCATGGGGACAGCCCCTCAGGGGACAGCTGGGCACCCTCAGGGGYATCTCTTGCAGGCAGTGCTGAGCTGCTCCTTGCACTCTGAACCAGAGCACTCAGGTCTGATTTTGGGGCCACCCTGAGCAGCTCTCACAGGGCCGAGTGCTCCAGCAGCGTGCAAACAACGAGCAAAGCCTTGCACGCAAACCCTGAGAGCATCCTGTAAACATCCCGGGGCTGGGTGCTGGGAGGGAGTGGAGCTGTGCTGCTCGAGGTGCTGGGCAACCCTTCCCAAGCTCTCTGCTAGCTCTGCCTCTGCGTGCAGCTGCATCAGCTGTGCCACCGCCTGCCAGTGACTCTTGGATGCTTGGGGGTTCATAATTCATTTATATTTTCGTTGGAAGCTCGCTCAGCTTTGGTTGTTGCCCCGTCGCAGGAAGTTGCTCTGATGAATGACTGGGGTGGATTTCTCTTCCAGAGGAACCCAGGCTTAATGTGGGCTTTCTGTGGACATCTCTGTATATCAATACTGCTCTAATTGTCCATGACATATAGTCTTGGCCTTTTTCCCAGACAGTCTAAATAAATCATACACTTCTGCTATAGTAAATAGTCTGTTAGAGGAGATGTTATAGGCTTACAGCCCTCCCCCTCCCTCCAGGAGCTTCTTTTCTCTGCCTCTCATTTTCCATGTACTTTCCATACCAATGAGGCACCTGCTGCCTGAGCCTGAAGGTCTGCAAGGACAAAGTGCCCAGTGTTGCAGGTCCCTGCAGGTTTTTGGGGCTGTGGTGGCCRTGCCCAGAGCCCTGCTCTGATGCTGGCATCAGCCCTCGACTGAGCTGAGTGGAGCTGGAAACTTTCCTGCCCTGCTTAAGAAATGCTGGCACTGCACACTGGCAAGGTCTTTGTTAGTATGTATTATTTACACCAAGAGAATGCATAAATAAAATAGTTAAAATCTCACCAAAAAAAAAATACAGGTTCTGTTAACTGGGTGTTGCAAACAAAGCTTTGTGTGCTCAGGCTGGGCAAACCCGCACGGAGGGGACAATTTGGGTCCTGCCAKGTCAGTGCAAGGGACAGCCCAGGAGAAGGTGACACAGCCTGGGAGTGCAGGGGTGTCCTGGGGCAGGGGACAGGCCACAGCCCAGTGCTCCTCCAGGGAGAATAGAGATTGGAAGTGCAACCTTTGCTAGGGCTGATGGTGGAAAGGTGAATCACAGGATGGTTTGGAAGGGACTTTAAAGCCCAGCTCGTTTCAACCCCATTGCCATGGGCAGGGACATCTTCCACTAAACCAGGTTACTCAGAAAACTTTCCAGGGCAGAAAATCCCAGAGCAGGCACAGAGCTGGTGGGAGAAGATGCCAATATGCCAGAGGAAAACCCAGCAGGCAGGAATTTCCATTCTGACAGCATTCTCCATCACCCCAGGAGCAGGAATACGAGTGCCCGGCGTGCCCGGGGGGCTCAGACGCAGCAGCAGAGCGTGGAGCAGTCCAGCCTGGCGGGGKTCCCGGCGCTCCCAGCCTTCTTGTTCTCCTTGGGCAGCAGCAGCACGAAAGCCATGGCCAAGGAGCAGTGGTAGAAGCTGTGCACGTAGGTGTAATCCCACTCCTGCAAGCGGGGAGAGCGMGGTGAGAAACGGGAGCGGCGGGGCCGGGGGCTCGCGTGAGGTGCGCAAGGTTAAATTTCTACAATTAGCCAAAAGGAAGGGAATAAAAAGGATTCCTGAGCCTTCCGCCTCACTTTGCTGTCAGAGAAGAAAGCATTTCCAGTGAAAAATAAAAAAAAAAAAAATAAAAAAAAAACCAAAGCAAAGTGGATTTAACACGTTCTAATTTGCCCATTTCCCAATTCTTGAATGAAGTGTTTCATTACCCCGCGAAGGACGCGGCGGCGAGGCCGGGGCTCTCGGGGAGGCGGCTTGTTCTAAGTGACATTTTTATGTTCTGCTAGAATTTGCAATTACTAAATGCTTTGAAAAGAAATCCTCGGGGGATGCCCGCGGGGCTGCGTCTCGCAGCTCCCAAAGCACAGAGCGGCCGTAACGGCGGGGCCGGCAGCTGGGTCGGGGGGTTATCGCCTCCCCGGCGGGACACGCCGACCCTCCGGAGCAGGAGGATGTAAACACAGCATCCAGTGCCCCTGGGAGTCACTGAGAGGCTTTTCTTTGGCGGGAGCCGGCTCCGGATCCGGCCGTGCCTGGGGCGGATCCAGTCCCTGCCGCGTCGCTCAGAGGTGTCCTTAAGTCACCCGTGCCCAGTTTCCAAAAAAACCCTGCTCGCACTTGACAGAGCCGTTCTGAGGACCGCGTGTGCCTGAGGAAAGCACATCCCGTGGCCTTGTGACTCACTGAAGAGGGAAAATGAGAGCAAGCATCACTCTGCGTGCTGCTCGCTGTCACCTGAATGGACCGGGGATGGGATGGGGACAAGCACGGAGGGACATTTGTCCCTGCTGCTGGAGCCCAGCACGCCTGAGCTAGGTTTTGTGCAAGGCTGGACGCTGCCCAGGGGTGTTGAGGGGCAGGTCTCCTCTCCTGGTGATGTCCCTCACACCCTGTAGGGTCAGGGAGGGCGAGTGTGCATGCAGGTACCTCAAAGAAGAAYCTCAGCATCAGCGCCAGCGCCCCGAAACAGAAGCCAGGACCGATCTGCTGGGTGTAGACGCTCTTGTCAGGGTAGAGCCCTTTCTTCTCCTTCATCTTCTGCAGCTGGGAGGAAGGAGAGAGCACTCTGAGAATATTCACCTGGATTTGACTGGCTGCTCCAGAGCCATTCCTTGTAATAATACTGGGTTTTAAAAATATTTAGCCCCAAAATCAGCTCAGGGAGTGTGTGCCCTCACAAACACTGTCTCTGGGAGAGCAGATCATCCCCAGGCTGGGGGATGCAGGGTGGCCTTTGTGTCTCGGTCTCCTCATAGCCCATCCCATCCCCATGGTGGGGGACCAGTCACTCGCTGTTAGTGACAGTTTATAATTGGGATTTGTCACTGTATTCCCACAACATTTGGCATCCTCCCTTTGCAGTTTTTATCCCATCACTCCTTGCCCTCTCCTGCCGTGGTTTCCCCACCCTGCTCCCAGTTTCTACAAGCACGTGCCACGAGAGGGGCACAGACTGCAGACAGACAGATTCCTCCCCGCTTTATCATCGCCTTTCATCCAAATCTTCCCYGGATCTGGGGCAGTTTACCAGACCCCTCTGCCTCTGAGTAGCTCCATAAAAACTCCATAAATATGTTGCTCCTGATTAGAAATGCAGGGGCAGGAGATGTGGTGGTTTGCTCAGACCGATCTAATCTGGCATTTATCACAAAGGCTGCTGTCTGCCTGCTTTCTGCTCAGGAGAAAGGAGCAGAAAAAAAAGGAGAAAAGCTTTTCAATCACCGTGAAATTGAGAGCTGGATCTCGAGGAGGGAATCACTGGCACAGACTGGACTCCTCCTTTCCCCAGCAGGGCCATTCCCCAGATCCCAGCCCCACGTACCCATTTGACAGTGATGACCAGCACGGCCGTGCCGATGGGCCCCGAGTAGACGCCGTAGCCCCAGCGGTCGTGGTAGATCCTCACGGCGATGGTGAGGACGCCAAACATGATGAAGGTCGATCTCTTGGGCTCGTCAAACTCTGCCAGGGCTGAGGGACAGAGCACAGGGAGCATCAGCTCACGGCCCCCCCTTTTTCTGCTGTTCCCCTAAAGCCTCCCCAGACTCTGTCCCACCTGCCCTGGGGACCCTCAGTGTTGCATCCGTGTCTGATTTGCCTTTCTSATGTCACACTGCTGGGGAAACTGAGGCACACAGGGGCAAAGGGAACAACCCTGAGGAATCCCAGTGGTGGGTCTAGAGGGGGGTTGTAGGGGTTTTGTGTTGCCTGGGGAAGTTTAAATGAGATTCCCTACCCAGAGAAGCTGTGGCTGCCCCATCTCTGGGAGTGTTCCAGGACAGGTTGGACGGGGTTTGGAGCACCCTGGGATAGGGGAAGGTGTCCCTGCCCAAGGCAGGGGGTGCAACAAGATCATCTTGAAAGTCCCTTCCAATTTGAAGCCACTCTATGATTTTATGATTTCCCTTTTCCTTGACCCACAATTCCGTGGCGACTGCAAACACACACACCCTGCGAGCCCCCAGTCAGTTCTTGTTCTCATCCTGCATCTCCAACCTTCCCAAACTCTCCAGGTCACTCTGGCACGGGCTCCATCACCCCAATCCAGTGGGACACCCCCACCAGAGCCACGGGGTCCCGTCCACCCCGGCACCTGCCCGAGGTTTGCGAGCTKGAAGTGGCCAGCGTGAGTAAATTATTAGAGGCTTTTGTTTAGCACAGAATGGGGTAATAACTGATAAAAGTTATGGATCCCAGTGGGCTCCATGCTTTTCCAGCTTGCACAGCTGTGTTATGGCTGTCCTGGATTCGCATTCCGGGAAGTTTGCCCGAGGGTCTGCGTCCGCACATGTGCGCTCGGGCTTTACAAGGAGAGGCTTCCCTGGGCTTCAGTCACCACACCTTCCATGTCCTTGGATYGTGCTTTTATTGGGACTTTGGCTAAGGGATAATGTCCGCATTTTAATCTCTGTTGTTTCCCAGYGGGTCAATATTTTAAATGTTGTAGTCCGGGGTTTGTGGGGTTTTTTTGCGAGGTTTTTTGAACGCAGTAATGAAGCAATCAAGCTGAATTTTGCTGCGAGGAGCCAAAATGTCTGGATCAGCTCTGACCTAYCCTGACACTGCTGTTATCCACTGAAAGTGCCTTTTGGGAATGATTTGGGAATGATTTGCCTCGTTGTCTTTTTCTAGTTGAGCACGGAGAGCACCGAGGTGCCCTCAGCAGTGGGGGAGCCCCCTTGGGACTGACATTTTGAGGGGACAGAGCCATTTCTAAGGTTAATATTTTCCTCATACATTTTTTCCCTGCATGGAAAATTTATCCTATTGCCCTGGAAGGGGGATGCTGCTGCATCCCCACAGGGTGAATCTGCCCAGATGAGGGGATGCTGTCCCTGCTTGTGCTGAGCTCTATCCCTTTGCTGTTGGAACATCTCTCTTCCCTTACCCTGCTCTCTTCTCTCTTCAGCCATACTCACATCCTTCCAAAAATCATGGTGACAAAATGGGAAAATGATAGGTTGGAACTTTTTGTCTTTCTTGTATTTTTTTTCCATTTTTATTATATTTTGTTTCAGTGGCAAATAAGGAACAAAATGAGGAAAAAGAGAGTGAAGCGAATGTGGGAAAAGGAAAACTGAATAACGGGGCAAGGGGCGGGATTTCGAGTAAAGAGGAAGTGAAATAAATTTCTGCTTTTTCTAAGCAGATCTAATATTCCCATAAACCCAGACCAAGCTTTTGATAAACCAGGAAGTTATATTTGTTTTGACTGAACCTCTTTGACTCTCATGCTACCAAGGGAAGTGGGAGATTCTGCATTTCTTAATGCCCTTAAGTGAGGCAAGACGAGTTGATGGGCCCAGTATGGGGAAAATGAGGAGAAATGGGAAATTCCCTGCTATATGAGGTTTCAAACTCAGTCATCTCATAGCCTTGTCCTGCCTTGAACTGCAGCACAAGTGTGTTAGTGTTATTTGAAGCAGATAATCCTGCTGTTGTGAGGATATGTGTGAGAGCTGGTGCAGGCACAGGAACACCCGACCAACACCAGCCCCAGGTGCCACAGCTCTTTGTTTCCATGAGCAAAATATCCCCAGACAACACTCAGAACAGGTCCAATCTGGACCCCTCCAGCTGCAGTGACTTTCCAAGGTGTTGATAACACAAAACTGGATGAATCCATAGCACTGAGTTCCATAAAGAACAATTCCAGCAGCTCAGGTGGAGCTCAGAGCGAGGGACTGTCCCCACTGAGTGTCCCACCAGCCTTGATGACAAATCCAGCCCTTCCTGCCAATCCTGGAACCTTCTGGAATCACAACAGAGCAGTTCTTACCCATCAGGGACACCCAGATGGACAGGGCTGTTCCGTAGATGCTGAAATACTCCAGGATGTCGTAGCGCATGAAGCACAGCACTGACAACCCAGGGCCGTCGCAAACGTGGAAAAACTATTTTTAAAAAGAAAAAAAATTATTAGAAAACTGATTTTTTTACCCACATACCAGTAAGGTAAAGGCTCTTATCAGCTAGTTTGAAATAGTGTAGCTGCTGAGGGGATGGCCAGCCAGGCCAGAACAGTGTCAGCTGCACCAGGATCAGGGATATACAGTAATGAATATATTTGAGTGATAATGTCATCGTTCCCAGTTGCAAATTGCCCAAGAATCAGCATTCTTCTCTCTTAGCACAAACTAAGACAGGCTTTAATTTGCCTCTTGGCCAGAGTTTGCAATCTGATGACCAAGCTGCTTTGAGCCTCGCGCTGGGGGATGGCCTCTCCAGCAGAAGGAGGACTCTGGGGTTGTGGTTTTAATTGCGAAAGATTCTTGTAAAACAATTCAAAATGAGCGTCCTGATGAAATGTGCATGCACGCCAGGTCACTGTCCAGGCTAAACAGGGTTTATATGGCCAGACTCTGAATG